GACACGGAGTAAACAAGATACCCCAACACAATCCACAAAGTAATCTTTGTATCCATCAAAACCAACCTAAAGTGAGTTTAATTTCAGCTCTCTTCATGAACAAAAATGGTGATTGTATTTTTATATTTAATTTTAATTCAGTAGTATGATATTGTCAACAAATAAAGATAAATCCTTTGTGTAGTATCTGCTACAGATAACATTTTCTGCTGCAGTAGTAAATAATGACTGCCCACTTACCAAATTGTCAACGTATCAGAGAACACATTTGTCAAGTTATTAAATAAATAAAAAATCATCCGTGTAGTATTATCTGCAGATAACAACATTTTCTGCTGCAGTAGTAAATAATGACTGCCCACTTACCAAATTGTCAAGGTATCAGAGAACACATTTGTCAAGTTATTAAAGAATGCTTATGTGCTTAATTTCTGCTTTCTGACCAATTAGTCAGTTAAGTGACTACATTTAAATATTATCCCATATAATAGAACTTCTATATTGATGCCTTTCTGAGGATTCTGAAGAAAGCATAAGAAACAGTTTAATAAATAAAAAAAACATTGCTTTGTTGTAATAAAAAAATAAGAGGTGCTGGGGTTAATTTCAACCCAGGTTAATGTGACTTTTTGCTTAATCACAGGTGCTGTGTTATGTAGTATGGAAAAGAAAGAATATTTCCATGATCATTTCTCTATCAGAGTAGATTATCAGTTTCCTCTCACATGAAATACCTGACCATGCATGTGATGCCATCTCTCTCCCACCACTTCAAAGGTGAGTTCCAGCATTGCATGTTCCTTCACCTTAAAAACTCAGTGCTAACAGAAAATTCAGTGCCAACCAAACAGGAGTCTTGTGGCATCTTAACATGGGGGAGCATTCCAAGAGTGATCCTCCACCAGCAGTCTTCAGGTGAGCCCTTTCATGGGCTCAAGTGTTTACCACTTCATCATGCCGCTCTCTTACAAGTGTAACCAGGTCTACATTTGTAACTGCAGCCCCTATAGTCATGCCTTGCTACCTTTATCTCCCTCCCACCCCTCTCTTTGTTTTCTCAGTTTAAGATCGTAAGGTCCTTGGGAGTGGGCATAGGTTGCCATTTACAACTGTGGCTATGTGGCTACTGAGGTGGAAGGGCAAAAGTTGTAATCAGATGGTGTCTTGATCAGAGACCAATGGAGATGGGCCTGTGTCTCCCCTGATGGGCAGCAAGGGAGGCTACCAGGGTTGCCAGCTCTGGTTTCAGTCCCTGAAGATTTGAGGGCAGTGCCCGGGGAGAGAGGCGTTTGGGGAGGGATCTCAGCAGGGATGTGATGCCATAGGCCCATCCCCTGATGCTGTTTGTTGTAATTTTTGGCAAATCCATAGAGTTTTTCCAGTAAAACCACAGAGTTTCTGGCGATTCCTAGAGCTACCCTATGTCACTTCCAGGTTTTTACTCGAGTTGATGTATTGCTGCATGTGATACTGCATTTTATTTTCTTCCGCCACTGCTTGGAGTGGGGTAGGCAATGGGAACGGAGGCAGGAGATTCTCCACCCCCATAGGGTTGCCGGCTCTGAGCTGGGAAATACCTGGAGATTTTAGGAGTGAGGCCTGAGGAGGGTGGGGTTTGGGGAGGGGAGGGACTTCAATGGGATATAAATGGCTATTTTCTCCAGGCGAACTGATCTCTGCTGCCTGGAGATAAGTTGCAAGAGTGGGAGATCTCCAGCCACCCCCTGGAGGATGGCAACCCTACCTATCAGGGCCCTGTCCAGGCCCCATTTGGAGGTTAGCTAGCAGGACTAGGTTAGAAGCTAGAAGCACCCATCATACGTGTGCCAGGAGAACCTGGGGGTGGGGCAGGGCCTGGCACACTGGTGTTGTGTAGGGTTTCCAGGCCTGGCTTGAGAAATACCTGGAGATTTTTGGGGGTGGAGCCTGGGGAGGGCAGGGTTTGGGGAGGGGAGGGACCTCAGCAGGGCATAGTGTCATGGAGTCCACCCTCCAAAGCAGCCATTTTCTCCAGGGGAACTGATCTTGGTTGTCTGGAGATCAAATGTAATAGCGGGAGATCTCCAGGTGCCACTTGGAGGTTGGCAGCCCTAGCTGCACCACCATACTTAAATCACTTCTGATTAAAAAAAATAGAAGCGATGTCTTTAGATGCTCTAACATTTAGAGTTTTTGTAAAATGCTAGCATACTCACCACTTCCAGTTTTTACAGGAAGTGACAAAAGCAGGCTGGCATGATGCCACTGCACGCACTCTGCCCATTTCCTTCCACTGGTGCCTGGGGGCCTTGAGCTGGGACACCAGGAGTCCTCGTGCTACAGCTGGAGGTCTGGCATCCCTAGCTATTATTAGTGAGGTGTGCAGTGTCCTGCTAGCCAGTCAACAGCTGTGTTCCAGCATGGTGCTGATCCATCCTTTCCCTGCCTCTGAAGCTCCCCCTCATGTCCCTTCCTCTCACTCAGTTGCTGGTCAGCTGAAGCAGACACGGCCTGGTCCTGTCCCACCTCACCACCTTCCTGTCAATTTAAACCTTTCCGGTATATTGCCTAGTCAGAAACCTATGCAGATCCCTGTCCATTTCGTGCCTCTTAACCTCTGTTAAGTGTCTGATGGATCTGGTAGTAAGTGGTAAGAACTAAGGTTTGACAGGCCTTAAACATAACTAGATTTAGTGTGTCAGAACACAGCCAACACCAGCACTGAACTCTACCCTCTTTAGCCAGTCCCGAAAACTACAGGGGGCGAATTTAACACCCCCCAACTGAAAGAAGAAGAAGAGATTGGATTTATATCCTGCCCTTCACTACCCAAAGGAGTCTCAGAGCGGCTTACAAATTCCTTTCCCTTCCCCTCCCCACAACAGTCACCCTGTGAGGTGGGTGGGGCTGAGAGAGCTCTGACAGAAACTGCTATTTTTTCAAGAACAGCTCTTATCAGAACTATGGCTTGCCCAAGGTCATCCAGCCAGGTGCAAGTGGGGAATCAAACCCTGTTCTCCCAGATTAGAGTCCGCACACTTAACCACTACACCAAAGGCCCACCAATACCCTCAGACATTCACAACAGTGTCATATATACCAAGGATGCTGTATAAATAAGAACAAATGAAACCATTTTGCATGTCACAATGGTTAAGTTCCAGCTCTGAGAAGAGATAAGCCTGTCTTTCTGGGGCTCAGCCCTGGGTAAGCATAAGCAAAGAGGGAGGAGCAGGAATAGCTCCTGGGTTTAAAGGCTAAGCGATGTTCCTCCAGCAGGAAACCACAAGCCAGTAGAGCAAAACTTTCCTCCTGGTGGGTGATAAGAAGGCCAATCACATCTTCCCAGCAGGTGATACTGAGAAATACCTGCCGGGAGTCGAGGCAATTAACAGAAGCTGCAAACGTTGCTCGAGCTGTGTACCATGAATGTAGGGGGCAGACTCCCGGCCTTCTCACCCCCACCACGCACCCCTAGCACTTCACTGCTTCAAAGGAAATGTCAGGCAGGGCAGGTGACTCAGCCGCATT